TATATATAGTTTATATGCGTAACATATGCGTAACATAAAATAATTGATTAAAAATAATTACAACATTTTATATTATTGAATATAAAAAATAAAACAACATCAATAATTTTATAAGCAATTTTTTTATAAATTACAAAAAATATGAAAGAAATTAAAAACAATTTATCAATATGAAAATAGTCTCAATAAATAGTTTCAAACAACAAGACAACATAATTACAATTTTTATTTTATTTTTTTTTTTAAATTTATGATATTAAATTTATAAGTTTATAACATAAATAACAAGGGGCAAACCAACTGTATCACATTTTATAATCCTCCATCCCCTTTTACTAATTTCACTAACTTTCAATTTTATGTAACGAATAACCAAGAAGGTAAGAACAATTAAAATTTATAGAATCATAAAAATAAGAATAATTAAAATGAAAAAATAAATCAAAAATTGTATAAATATAGTGTTAAAAATAAAATATAAAATTTGATAGAAGAAAAAACTACTAAATTTAGTAGCAGGAATAGTCGAATAGGTGTTAAGAACAATATCACACTATCACAGTTAGGTGTTTTAACTTTCAAACACTTGGCAAAATAAATAAGAATTAAAAAAAATCTCATCTTAAGAACAATGAGTGTTGCAAACAACCAAACACTAAAAAAAAAAATAAGAAAGAGTAAAATACGACAATCAATAATAAGAAGAAAAGAAAAAAAAATGTAAATTTTGCTTGAATAATTTTTGTTTTCTAAAAAATGATGAAGTAATACAAAGTCAGACAATTGATAACAGAAAAGATTAAATTTTGTAAGAAAAGAAACGAGATTGATGAGTGATTTGAGAATTGAAAATTTAAAATGCAACTTACATGTAAATATTATGAGAGGTCTAAAAGAATAAGAAAGAATAATTATGAAATACAAAATGAATGAACTAATTGTAAATTAAAATTAATATTTAAAAAAGATTGTTACAGTGATTACAAAATTAATTAATATATTAATATATTTAAATAATAAAAATCTTAATCATAATTAATGTTTTTAAAAGAGAATTGATGACTTATGTATTTATTAAGTTAATGAATAATTTTTTAATTAAAAAATTAATATATAAATTCTAGAATCTTAATTTTTTTAAGGGGTCTAAAATAATGATTTTAATGAGTTGATATTGTAGAAAATCTGTGTTCCTATTTTACGGTTTCGTTTGATGGGGTTGAATTATGAAAGATGGAAATGGGTAATAAGAGCATTATCATATTGTTCTGCTTAATGCTTAATGCATAATGCTTTTTCTTAATGCTTATTAGTCCCACTTAGTTAATAATTTGTGCAGTGATTGGCAGCCGTTGATGCGGCCAATCCATTTGGAGCAAGATGCCAGCTCACAGCAGACACCCCATGACACATCCCGTGATCCGTCTCCCACTCCCACACCATCGCGCGTGCCAGGCACTCTCCCATCTTCACCTTCTTCTTATATGTCACAACTCACAACTCACACTTCTCACCTTCACTCACTCACTCTCTCTTCCTCTTCCACAATGTCACCACTCCTCCTCACACTGCTCTTCCTCTCCTGCGCCCACGCGCGTCTCACACTCGACTTCTATAAGGACACGTGTCCGCAGTTCAGCCAGATCATCCGGGACACCGTCACCGCCAAGCAGATCGCCAGCCCCACCACCGCCGCCGCCACGCTCCGCCTCTTCCTCCACGACTGCCTCCTCCCCAACGGCTGCGACGCCTCCATCCTCCTCTCCACCACGCGCCTGGGCCCCCCCGCCGAGCGCGACGCCGACATCAACCTCTCCCTCCCCGGCGACGCCTTCGACCTCGTGGTCCGCGCCAAGACCGCCCTCGAGCTGGCCTGCCCCAACACCGTGTCCTGCGCCGACATCCTCTCCGCCGCCACCCGCGACCTCCTGACCATGCTGGGCGGCCCCTTCTACCCCGTGTTCCTCGGGCGGCGCGACGGCCGCTCCTCCCTGGCCTCCTCCGTCCCCCTCCACCTCCCCACCCCCTCCATGCCCATCTCCGAAATCCTCCAAATCTTCACCAGCCGCGGGTTCTCCGTCGAGGAATTCGTGGCCCTCTCCGGGGCCCACACCGTTGGTTTCTCCCACTGCTCCGAGTTCATCTCCAACGTCTCCTCCTCCTCCTCCTACAACCCTCGCTTCGCTCAGGCTCTCCACAATGCTTGCGCCCGTTACCCTTCCGACCCCACTTTATCCGTCTTCAACGATGTCATCACCCCCAACAAGTTCGACAACGTTTACTTCCAGAACCTTCCCAAGGGTTTGGGCGTCTTGAAATCCGACCACGGTTTGTATAGCCACCCCCTTACCCGACCCTTCGTCCAAGCCTTTGCCAAGGACCAAGATGCTTTCTTTAAGGTCTTTGCTACCTCCATGCAGAAGCTTAGTCTCTTGGGTGTGCAGACAGGGAGGAAGGGCCAGATCAGACGCAGGTGTGACCAGATTAATTGACTTTTTTTTTTCTTCTTCTTCTTCTTCTTTTTGCTTGTCGGAATTTCATGTGATGAGATGAGATGAGACGTCATTTATTTTTATTTTTAATTATAATATCATCATCATACCTCTTGTCTAATGGTTTTGAGGTTAATTATACTTGGTTACATATACTACTGTACTGCATTGTGTGAGGTGGTAAATGTGGGCATTCATGGGCATTGATTTATTGCTGTTGGATGGATTTTGGATAATAGATGAATCTCAGAAGAGTTTTCGTGCGTATTGTGTAAGATTAATAAAATCTCAGCTTTTGTAAATAAGGGCATTCATTCAGGGTTTGTGTTGTACTGAGTTTTTGTTACAGTACATGATAAAATCTCTTATTTTAAGGTTTTTTAGGATGTTGGAAAGTGCTGTCTGGCGTTGAAATTGGCCGGAGTGTTCAGGCTTTTAAGAATTCTGCACAACTATATTCAGAATTAATGAATTGCAAGTAAACAAATTTTAACTGATTTTCTTTTATTTAATATTATTATTTTAAAATATTTTCTTTTTATTAACCTTTTTATTCTTGGGAAAAAGAAACTTATTTTCGACCGAGATTATAATAATTGAGTGTGAATAATTTAAAAGAAAGAGACAAGAGAAAGTGAGGGGGCCAGCAATTTAAAATGCTAGATGTGGTAATAGATTTGGCATTGAAGTACGCATTATCTTGGGAAACATAGTTAGGGCTTGTAATAAACTAATAATTATGTGATTGAGTAATGGGCAGTGTGGCTTAAACAATGAAAACGTAACGAGGGGAGAATTTGGCAAGGCAATATTAAAATGCAAGAGATGCCTTTGGATTTTGAAAAACATTTTGTTTGTAGTGTGGCACCAGTTTTGTCCCTTATGGGTCTTGCTAACAGCTGGTTTTAAGGACCATGCCATGCACCATGCATGATTGCATGTGCATAGATACATTCATACGCTCATTTTATTATACAGCTGCAGTTGTTGCCGTTTTTAATGCAACAGAGGCGCGCCGCATACTCTACATCTACTATAGCTTCTACATTTTTCTCTTCTATTGGGGTCATTAATTGAACAAAATGGGAAGACAAGTTATAATGTTGAAGACTCAAGATTTTGTAGCTTATAAAATTTATGTCAAATATGTAAAAATGAAGTGAAACACCAATCCAGAACCAAACAGACTCTTAGCTCGGAAATTGTGTTTGATTTTCAACTCGTGTTTGATGACTGCAATGTACAAAAAAACTTGTTGGGTTATCAGTAATTTCAGTATTGCGAGTAAGATTAATTTCTGGCTTAATAAATTAATAACGATTTATTGAACAGAAAACTCTATTGCTGCGTATGTAAACCAACAATAGCTAAAATATCATGAATGAGATTAGTGAAGGAGTGCTTTGACTATAGGGTGGTGGTATATTTAGGAGGTGCATGTGCACAAGTTAAAAAATGATGTACTGAAATTCGCGGTGATTGAGGAACTAAGCCTAAACCGACAGAGGTTTTGCGTATGGTCAAATGATGAATGTGGTACCAGGCTGGATAATTCCATAATGTTGTTAAGTGGGACCTGGTATCATGTTTCTTTTGCATACTCCACGGGCTAGGTCGTTATCATTTCTAAGGACGTTAAACATCTTTACTCATTAACATGCCCGAAAAGAAAACTTTATTGCCAAATCCCAAACATCTTTGTGATGGTTTGATTTTAGTACACGCGGTTTGGGTTGGTTCCAGACCAATAAGGTTTGTCTTTCCCCTTTTCAATAAAATAAATTAAAAACAAAATCTCAATGGATTCTAAATGTTAAGATTTCCCTTGTTGAGTATCGCTGAATTTGAGTACAGAATTAGAAATTTAGATAAAATTAGAAATGGAAATGACCCATATAGTAAAAGAATTTTCTTTATCTGAGAGCATCTTAAATTTATTAAAGAAAACAATTTAACGGTTCAACTGTTCTCTTTTTCGATTTGGAGATTCCTTTCCACTGTCTCTTTTCTGTTTTTGGAGGGTAGAGTGTGGGGACAAACAAACTATCCCTTCTTTTTTTTTTATGAGCCCCAAAACTTTGCTCTTTTATGCAAAGTATATCACTATGTTGTTTCTTATTTAATTCATCATTTCACTCACCATTTGGGCTCACAATATCTCAAAGCCATTTGGGCTTGAACATGTATTTTAGTCTCTTAATTTTGGAGCTGGCCCAGATCTTGTTCAGCTGCATGATCCCAATGTTGGGCCATTGGGTTACTATGATCATTGATCCCACTCCATATTTATATGCTACTCGATTACTCTATGGGTCCACCCTTAGTTTGTGTGATCTGTTTGCCCAAAAGTGCAAAACATCAGCACGTTAATATTTTGGCTTCAAGTGCATGCCTATGTTCATTTGTTAAGGGTAGTTCAACTGTTAAAATCAAGTCATGCAAAATTTTCTTTGTAGTTTGGTAAGTTTTTGAGATATAAAGTATAATTAATACTACCTCCATTCTTATATACTCCCTTCATTCATTTTATTTGTTAGTTTTTTAGTAAAATTTTGTTTCTATTTACTTATTATATTCAAATTTCAAAACAACATTAATTGTAATGTTATTAATTCTACTCTTACATCTCATCTAATTTTAATTAATTTACATATGACAACTAATATGCATTTATTATGAAGTAAAAATAAAAGAAGCTACAATAAGAAAAATATTAAGATCATTATATGAAAAATAGAAAAATTTATTACATTTCTTAATTTGTATAAAACAATCTTAAACAGCATTTATAAATGAACAAGGTAATATAAGATTGAATTACCTAATTCATCAAGATTAAGTAATTAACAATAAATTTGTCCTATTTATATATTTTTTTCTCAAATCACTCTTATACTATGTATGTTTCCTAATTAATACTTATATTTTCTAACCAATTAAAGTACATGTTGTATCCTATTTATATCTCCTAATTAATACTCAATTTTATCCTAACCAATTAGAGTGCGTCTTTTAAATAGTTTATAATTGATGCATTTTACCAAATTAAAATAACACATTTTAATTAAAATTATTTTAGTCTAAAAATAATTAATATATGATATAATATGAATTAAATCCTATATAAAGGAACAAACAATTATTTTAAATTGAGTCTCATAAATAAAAACAAAAATAATAATAATAAATGTGTTACAAAAACATGCTAGAGTAACTTGTTAACCCTCTTCTTAACCTGGTTTGTTAGGAAATAGAAAACTAAGAGGTACGTTTAACAATTTTTTTATAAATAAAAATTACTTAATATAAAATATAATCATATTCCTTATCAAAAGCTATGAGACCTACAGATAAAAACAATATTCCTTAACAAAAGAAAATTACCATATTATGCATAAAACGTTAATTTAAATTAATAGTCATTTATAGTTTATCCCTTTTTCTATAGATCTAAAAAAAATCATATGGAATCAAGTTAGGTATAAATCTAAAGTATGGATTGAAAATGACCTTAAGATAAATTAGGTCTTCCTTACCTGTTTTTCAATGTTACTAATTATTCACATTGTTGACCAAATATAAATTTGGTATCACCAAGTGATCTAAATATTACTTACCTGTTTTTCAATGTAACCAATTCACATTCTGGACAAAATAATGCAATGCAGGAGGAAAAACAAAATCCTTTAGGCCCACAAATTATCGTAAATTCTAACTTTCAAACAGTGCTACAGTCGCAACTAAAAGCGAAAGTTACCTTTAAGTTTGGGTCTGATAACCCTTACTTTTTCATAGTTCCTAGTTTCATTTCATTTCATTCAGTTATGAGAATTTATCGGAAATATTCTTCACTACTATGTAAACAGTTAACTACAAAGAGTATATTGTAAAAGCAATATAATACTACTTTCTTTTATACCAGATTATGCTTGTAGAGAACTCATATAGGAAGTGAAAGAAAATAAAGTGGGAAAGGAATAAGAGTAGAGAAATGTAGCAAGGTTTTGACCAAAAAAGAAAGTGTAGCAAGGAAAGGCAATACAAGGACCAAGCATAATTGTGGGACATGAATCACCTCAAGAATATTATTGCTGGCAATTCTATAGGATTAATTGATTAACTTTTGTCTAGAAAAAAAATACAAATCAGACAATGATTTCACTGAAAATTCCTAAATGCCCTTGTTATGGAGGAAACAGAACCATGCAACATTTCCTCGGATGTTACTAGGTTGGTCTTTTAAATAATAATGAGGCCTACACTCGTGATATAACTTTCTTTGGACCATTTGCCACTAAAACCTCTTGAACACTCGCAATGATTTATGCACAACATCCTTTACAGTCTAATTATAAAATTTCAAAAATCTACTTGTAGTTTCTCTATGTAACATTAGTTAAAGCCAATAATATATAATGTCTATGCATGAGGATCAAAGAACCAAATTCTGGTCACATTAAATTAATAATCATCCACGTTGCCTTGCTACACTACTAATCCAGTTGGAACACGTTGAAAATGAAAAGAGTATAAGATGTGAGGTTAAAATATATTCAGATACCACAGTTTTGAGTGCAAAAGGAGAGAAAAGAAAAGGCAAAAACCCAAAAAGGGAACACAACCAGATTGTAGAAGAAGGAATAAAGTGGTAGCATAAGCATATACCTCAACACTCCCTTCGCACTTTCTACTCCAAAAATCATCAACTTTATTATTCTTTCCCTTCAATTATTCAATCAACAACAGCATCACTGTTCTTTATTTCCGTGCTAATAAGACTAATCAACAATTAACCCTTCTCTATTTACATCCCTCTAAACTTAAAAAAAAAAAAAGTTAAAATTAAAGTGTTTATTTTATATGGTCGTATTTTCCCAATTTCGCCAACTTTTTTCCCTCCCTATTCATATGAATTTGATCCCATTGTTTTCGTAGTACAATTTTGATTCATCCTTTAACCTAATGTCGCGTGACATTCAATAGTGTCACAATTGCATTTCTATTAAATATTAACGTAAAGTGACAACATAGAACAAAATTTAAATAACATGGTCAAATTTGCCAAAAAAAAAAAAAAAACTGAAGGAACCAAATTCATAGAATTGAAAAAAAAATTAAAGAAAACAAACAATATAATTAAGCCAAAAAATTTACAATGGTAACACAAATTAAATTGAAAAAAACATTATTCCCATTTACCAATTCTCCATCCAACTTCAAAAATCATAAAACAATGGAGTTTCTTTAGTAAAAAAAAGAACAACATAAAAACCAATAGAACCTTAATAACACTCTATTCTAAAAGAAACAAATAATTACATTAAAAATAAAAACAAATATTCCACTGTACTCAAAACTCGGCCGAGTTAGCACCCGACTCGTCCAAGCCACCACCGAGTCGACCCCGAGTCCGGCAACCCAGCCCCGAGTCAAGCAACTCTTCCCAATCCACATCCTCCTCCTCCACCTCCTTGGCCCTCATAACCTCCAATATCTTCCTCACCTTATGCCTCCCCCTCTCACTCCCCACCTTCTCAAACTTTTGCAACACCTCCACCACCCCCGCCGCTTTCGCCACCGCCTTGAACCGCAAACCGCCATGACTCAGCGCGTACATCACCGCCACACAGCTCTCCCGAGTCGACCTGGTCAACTCGGCCCGACTCAGTAACCCGACCAAACACTCCACCACACCCGCATCCAACATCGCGGCCCGCCCGTCCGACCCGGAACCCAAGTTTCCCAAAATTAATAAAACCCGACCCGTCATGTGACCCGCCTTAGCCATTTTCAAAAGAACCGGAACCGAACCGAGCTTAACCATCTTGGACCGGTTACTCTGAACCAAAGACAAATGATAAAGCGCCAAGGCCGAGTCGTGGCGAGTCAACTCGTTGTCGGATCGGAGCATGTGAAGCAACGGCGCCAAACCACCCAAAACCCCAATGGCGGTTTTGTTAGCATCGTCGAGAGATAAACTGAACAAGGCGCCCGCACCGTGCTCCTGCGCCTCAGAGGATCCATTCTTCAAAACCTCGATCAACGGCGGAACCATCCCCGACCGCACGATCTTCACCTTGTTGGTTTTCTCCAGCGAGAGGTTCACCAGCGAGGCGAGAGCGTTCACTTGAACGTTCGCGTGTTTCGATAAAACATGGGAACGCAACGCGGAGAGGACACGTGGCGTGCAAAGTTGGAGTCTTGTTTCTTCTCTCACTCTGGTTAGTTTTCTGAGAGAGAGGAGTGTTTCTTCGACTACGTCGAAATTGGGGTTTTTGAGGCTTGTGGTGATTTCTTCTTCTTCTGGGGTTGTGGCGGGTTCCAGCTCCGATGAAGAAGGGGAGGAGGAGCAGCAGCAACTGCGGCGCGTGGAGAGTTGCAGCGGCGGCGTGGAGGCTGAGGTTGTCGCTATGGATTCCTCGGAGCTCGAGTACAAGTGTGTGGGTCTAATGGGGATTTCGGTTTCGGCGTGGTGGTGTGGGTTTTGGTTAAAAATGGAATCTTTGTCGGAGGGTATGAGGTTTGGGGTGGAGGGGATTAAGGTTTGTACGAGGTTGTTGTTGGGGGGGTGTGGAGGGGGTGTTTGGGTGGTTTGGCACCATTTGAGGATGGCGGATTTGAGGGCGAGGTTGGGAATGAGCGTGGAGAAATCGGGGGTGGTGCCGTCGGGGAGTTGGGGGGTAAAGTTTAGATTTTTACAGGCTTCCACGGCGGCGCGTTCGAAGGAGTGACCGGAGGAGACGATGACGGGGTCGGACATGAGGGAGCGGGAAAGGGGGCAGAGGAACTCTTCTGGTGGGGTTTTGGTTTTGGATTTTGTGTGGAAGAAGATTTTCTTCCATTTCAGCTTGGTGGCTATTGGTTGTGGTTGTGGTGACTCTTTTGGTGTCATTTTGGGTGATGGCCATTTTTTGAGTTGAATCTCCATGGGATGGTGGAGCTCTCTCATAGCTGTGAAAGTGAGAGGGTCAATTGGGGTGTGTCCATAGCATTGTGAATTTTGAGGGGATGGATCATATGATGAAATGGGGTTGGAGGTGGTGGAGACTAGGGAGGGAGGTTTGATTCCCTTGTTGCTTTTGGAAAATCTGCCCAATTGGAAAGTGAAAGTTGAGGGAAGTAGTGAGTGTGAGTGATGATGGATGCTCCTAATAAACGTCTAAACCATTCAATAAAAATGCATTCACCATCCGCATTAGCCTCTACACATAACTATTCATGATTATGAATATTGTTAAGGCTAGTTTATTGATAAGATAAGAACAAAATAAGTTTTTTTTTTTTTTTTTTGGTAATATACTAAGTTTTAATTTAATTCTATAGTTTAGTGCACATTATTAGATAATAAACTAATATTATGTTTCATATGTTGAAATCATAAATTTATCTAGAAGTGGGATTGGGTAATATAAGAGTACTGGATTCAAATTCACTTTGTTATTGTAATTTTGATGATTAAAAAAATATAAAAATTATTTTATCTTTAAAATCATATTCTTAAATTTTATATTTTATAAATTTATAATTCTAACTATATTAATATTTTAATTTATGTAATACACATGTTAAATATTTATATATATATAATTAAAATTTATAATAAATTATATATAAATAAATATTATATTTGAATGTATAAATTATATTTAAAATTTATATATATAAATACTTTAAATATATAAATTATATTTTAAATTTATGATAAATAATTTATATTATAGTATAATATTATTTTTATTTATTAATAATTTATTTTAAAATTATTATAATTTAATT